GAATAGAAACCTAGGAGTGTGAAAGTCAGTCAAAAACTACAATATCTGCACAAAAACAAACAACACATTAATTAGTCTCATGATTCCTAACCTTAAACTTTATTTCATCATCAAACATTCAAAAACTAGTAGACTATATTTGGCTTCTCCGCTTATAGTGCTTACTTATAAGAGATGTAACACTAACCTTCATTACATTGCTTTAATTACTAATTTACAACGAGAATAGTAAAAACTAAACAAACTAAACAATGCCAAGTATAGAAAAGTGGTCTCCATCATATCAAATCTTATACATTAAGTGAAATATTGAAACTATATCTCTTGAAAATAATGTCTCATAAAATAGTCATTTAATCTATCAATAATGACACAAATAACACACATACGCAGAGGCTGCAGGGCAAGGGTCTACACCGGCGAAGGCTGCACAGATGTAAGTGTATGGCAGACAATACTACATCGGGTCTGTGAAAAACCGAAGCAAGAGGGTATAGGCATCGGGTCTAAGCTCCGAAGCAGAAGAACCATCTATAAAGTTGTCAAAAGAAAGTTTGATTTGCAGATGGAGGTGACAGTAGACTTTATAGGCATTGGTTTCCCCATTTAACCGAAGCAGTATAAGTAATAGGCATCGGTTGGTGTTTAACTGAGGCGTATAAGGTTTCTATATTTACGAAAACGCCATCGCGTTCTTATACGCTTCGGTTTCGTAGTAACCGAAGCGTATATGACGCATTAGAAGCCTTTTTTTTACTAGAGTTAACTCAAGGAAGATTAATCTCATTTTCACTATGTTTAACATGATATCTATTTATCTTATCTTTATTTTATATTTTTTAATTAGTTGATCATTATTTCTTATTTGTATTTTGAACTTAATACATATTTCTTTTATTATAAATAGAGAATCATGTGTGTATTCAACACAAGAAAGATTAATCTCATAGATAGTTTTCACTGTATTCAATATATTTATCTTATCTTTTATTTTTAGTTTGTTTGTTATTATTTGTTATATCTATTTTGAGTTTAGCCCATGTTTCTTCTCTTATAATTAGAGGACATTACATGGGATTAAATAGTTTTTCATTATATTCAATAGAATCAGTTATGGGAATGTGGAATTGATTATGGACGTATAAAAAGTGGGTGGAATCGATTTTGAACGTTAAAGGGGTTGAAAGAATTGATTTTAAGTATTAAAGAAGGGTTGGAAGAATTTATTATGAGAATTATAGAAGAGTTGGAATCAATTCTATAAATGTTGGAATCATTGGTATTTGAAAAATGGTGGAATTGATTCTTAATAGTATTGTAATTGATTGTATTATAATGGAATCCATTCCATGGAGTTGTAATTTTCACATAGTAACTCAAAAAAATCAAACAACCATACAACTAACCATTTTTCTTATTTGAGTTTGCAACCACTCCATTGTGGCTACCATCTATTAATAATAATAATTTTTAACAAATTATTATTATAATTAATATTAATACTAACAATATAGTTGAAATTTATTCCTACAAATGTCTTTTATAAATTTTAATTTTATTTTTCTAATTTTAATTTTTTATAGATAACAAATCATTTAAATATAAGTTTCACTACTTATATTTAAATTTATATCACATTTCTACACAAGGATAAATTGGTAATAATTTATTTTTATCAATTAATTTTTTTTAATTTATCACACCAATCACGTCATTCACAAACTTTTCTTTGAAATCCCTTTATTTATCCCTTCAAATTCCTGAATCCAAACAACATCACAATCCTCTCTCAATTCTCTCAAATTCATTCTTTCACTCTTTCTCAAATTCACTCCTCAATCCAAACACTATTTTAACAATAAGAATAAGATATTCCAATAGTTATTTGAACTTAAAGTTATTTTTACCTTAATTTGGGGTAAAAGTAAATCTAAATAGATATTTAATGCAAAACCCTTCAATTACCTATATTGGGCCATACAATTCTCATTCATGTTATTTTAAACATAAAATAGTGTCTTATGATCAACTAATATATTTACACAAAGAGTTTTTACTTTTCTATCTCCCTTCATTAACATTATTAATAAATAAAACTTCAATTAATAATTTAATTTTTATATTTTAGTATTGATTCATTTTTATCATTATATATATTGTTGAGTGAATTGAATATGATTATTTGTTAAATAAAATCAATGTAATTTCTTCCGTTAAGATGGTTTTGATAATGTTTAAAATCTTATGACATGTCAGTCCAACCAAATGTTTAATTAGTATTATACTCCTTATAATTTTCCTTTAGACTCAATTGAATACCTATTTTTTCTTTTTTATACGGAGATAATGTGATCCTTTTTTTTGTATCTTCTTCAATGGGTCCTAAGGATATTAATGCTTATTGTTGGAAGTTGAAAGTCTCACCTAAACAAACCAATTTAAAACCAATCTAGAGTATATAAATAGATGCAAATGTCACTGTTTATTTGTAAAATTGAGCTACACTTAAAGTCCACTTCATAAGGTTTAAAGTCTACTTCTTAACTTAGTATCAGAGTCATTGGTTTAAGCCTATCATAGCGATATTTATTGTTTATTAGATTTATTTTTCTACCCATTATCGAACCACCATTAATGTTTAGTCTCACGTTCGATACGTATATACCTCGATGTGAGGTGGGTGTGTTATAAGTCTCACATCAACTAGAGATAAAGTCAATTTAGAATATAAATGAGTCCAAATCTCATCTTATAAACCAATTTTATAAGATTGAATTAGACTTAAAGTTCATTTCTTAATATTATTTTATAGAAAAGACTACATTAATATAAAAACTCAATTGCATTGAACAACATACAACAACAAATAGTAGTATACTGATGTCATAGGAGAAATAACAAATTGAAAAAATAGAGCAATAACACTGATAACAAAATTTGCACCCACCTAAATCTAGAGGATTAATTGCACCATGAAGTTCTTATTGTATATTGGGTTATATCCATCATTGTAGACAATTTATTCTTTTAGGCTATGAGGTTTGCTTGTCAACACATTGCTTTGTTAATAGTGGGTTCAATCTACTAATTCCAAATACAAAGTGTTACCTGCTATAGTTGTACTCATAATCACAGGGTAATTACTACTGCTTCTTATAATTTTCAAATTATTTTTTTTCTGGTATAAATTTTATGATTAAAAATTTTAATAAAGAAACTTATTTCTGTTGAGACGTGAACAAAATGTTTCAAGTATTATATTTCATCGAAGAGAATTCAAAGATTTTGTTATAAAGATTGATAATGAATAGTCTTTTTATTATAAAGAGAGAAGACAAATTATGGTAATTTTCAATAAGTATAAAGGATATAAAATAATAAAGTTTCTTTCTCTGTTCTCATTAGCACAAATATAATAATTTACTGTAGGAGTTAATTAAATTGATTAATGTGTTAGATAAATATTGTTGACCAAGACGTAGCTAACGAACTAGGAAAATACTTGAAATCTATTGATGGAAAACCCGTTAATCTCAAGCAGTTAAGATATAATAAAACGAGTTTTAAATTTCAGAATTTGAAGACTCTTCTATTTAGTTTTCTATTAAACCTTTCTTACTCATTATCAAGGTTTCATAAACTTTTGGCAGAGGGTTCTTGTTTCTTGAACTCAATAGTTGAAATGGTTCACCAAATTTTAATGTTTAACCTTTTTTAAGATGAGTATTTTTTTTTTTTGTTATTGTACTGATAGGTCCTCCCAGCATAGACCGAGCGAACGGTTAACGATACCGCCCACCAAGATGGCAATAAGGACTAGCGTCCAGCCGTCCAAGGAACCGAACGTCCTCCCACACATGGGACGTACGCCCAAACCCCAAAAAGGCAATCAGGACCAAGGCCGCTCGAGCGCCACTAGGCCGAGCGTTCACCCTGGTCAAGCACCGAAGTCGAACGACCACCCAGGACGACTCGCATAACACAAGAACGTCCGCTCTGGTCGAGCGCCAAGGCCGAACGTCCATCCACTAAGATGGCGAGCGACATGCCATTTGTGATGACGAGCGTCCACCCGTTCAAGGTTGGCACGTCCGCCCAAGAATCTGGGCCGAACGTCCAACGAGCGGCCAATCATTTAGGAAGCGGACGTCCGCCCAAGGATGGCACGTCCGCCCAATAATCTGGATCGAGCGTCCAGTCATTCAAGAGCCGGACGTCCGCCCAAGGTGGCACGTCCGCCCAGGAATCAGGGACGAGCTTCCCATCATTCATAAACCGAACGCCCGCCCAACCGAGCGGCACTTTGCTGATTACACGGTTAAATGCTAATGACACATTAAAGTCCTTAATAAAGATTAAGGTATCATTGGGCCGTTTCCAGGCCCCCAAAAGGTAAGAGCCCATTACAATCAGTATAAATAAAGGTCTCAGGTATGAGTTCTGGACAGATTGCTTAGAACGCAACACATGCATGCATTATATAACGCTCTGTCATATTACTGACTTGAGCGTCAGAGTGCCTTTAGCAGGTACCCGGCCCCTCCCCAACTGGAGCGTGGAGCAGCGCCAGGAGAAGGAGGACGTCCGTTAGCAACCTCTCGCTCCGTATTGACGGAGAAAGCGTTCACCAGCCGGTATTGTTCGCGTTCGACCGTCCGGCCTTCAACCGCGTTCGTCCGTCATTGTACCGTCCGTCCCGTCTGCACCAGCTGGAGAGAAAGCGTCCTGGTGAAAGGGCGTCCGCCAAATCCGTAGCAGCTGTGCCGTTCGTCCGACAGCCTCTACCGTTCGCGATCGTCCGCCCGCCTTCACCGTTCGTGATCTTTCGTATGTTTTAACAGGGTCCGCCCGGATCCAGTCGAAACAGTTATTATGTTAGAACAACTTCATCTACATTTTTCCAAATCATACATTATTTATTTGAAAAAAGAAATTTATGTTTGGTTGAAATAAAATAATATTATCAAAAGTACCACAGAATAAAAACTTTTTGTGTTGGGTTAACAATAAACACGCCAACTTTTATTCCAAACCTCTTTAACATAAATCAGATCTCTTAAGATCTTACGCCAAAATCACTTTTCCAAAATTGAAACTATCCTAAACGAAGTTTTCAAATGTTCAACCAAACACACCGTAACAGTGTGATTATAAGTACTTTTCTTTTCAAATGGGAACTGCATCACATTGCACAAACGTAGAGTGTCAATAACCTAAGTGAATAGCTATCTCCTGGGAAGCATGGGACAGGATATTGGTTCTTGATGATATACTTTGATGTTGTTTGGAAGTGGTTCTTTTATAGCATTTGGATGACACATATTGACTTTCTGACACATCAAGCACTGATATTGAAGAGGAATCAACATTGTTTTCCTCATTCCTTAGCTTTATGTCTTCTGCCATAACACTTATAAACACTTCCAATGCCTTGCACATCCAGTCATATCGGCTCAGTCTGAATGCTTCTTTTATGTTCACCTAATAAACATATCCTTTCAAGAATGAGTTTCATCCTATATTGAATAGGAATGAGCAAGAAGAGTATTATATAAGAAAGAAAATAACATAATTATAGTCCTAAGCTTTTCGAATTGAAAATAATGTATATTCATGATTCATTGATATCAATTTTTTAGAATTTTTCCTAATGACAATCTTAACACATTTTACTTCGATAGAGATGTTTTTTTAAGAATTTATATATTATATAACAATTTCAGTTCAACTATATTTCTAAGTATGTTAAGAAAGATACAAACGTTAATGAAATATAAGTTTAATAATAAAAGAGATTGATATTACTTTATCTCTGAAACCTTAACGAAATAGGTTAATAGGTCTTTTATCTTTATATAGTGTTTTATTTTATCATTTTTATTCAATGCGGGACTTTTAATACACGTTTGAATTCCGAGCAGTATTAAAATTGTTTTAAGAATTTATAAAGAAGAATTACCCATTGGCGATTATGGTCCTTTTGCTCTGGCCAAGCCTCAAGTTCTTCAGTGACCTCTAAGGAAAACATGTACCCTCTGCACCATCCTTCTTGGCTGGATGAATCTTTGCTGCTTTTGCTTCTGAACTCCCATCTTCCCAAGGGAATTTCCTGAAAATGAATGCCCACCATTTAGCTAATGAAGATTTCTGAAATTTGGTATCATATAGATCATATATATGAATCAGAAAAAGCATTGATTGACTTTAAAAAATCTTACTCTTACAATCCCTTTAACTCCTGCTTCCTCTAGGGCTTCACGGCAAGCAGCTTCTGTAACAGTTTCATCATCCTCCCATCCTCCCTGGAAGAAGAACAAAGTGACACTTCAGAAAGATTTTCATGCTCATGAAATTTTCATTGGTTAAAAGAAGACACTGTCAAGTACCTTCGGAAACACAAGGTCATCACGTTTTGGTGAAGAAACCATAAGTACTTCTATCATCTCCTCAGTATCTTCTTTTTTATCCACTTTTCCCTTTTTCCATCTATAGGGAATACATCTGTTATAAATGCATCAGTAAGAAAATTTTCATTATAATTATTACAAACATATTTTTCCAAGTCTCATCATATATTTGTCCCCACCATTTTTCTAGCTAATTATATATATATCAGAAAAAATGGAAATTAAGAAGTATAATAGAGTGATAAGATAAATTGAAACTACAGTGTCTAAGGGTTGAATATGTTTTGTTCTTTATCTTATGGAAATATGATGATTTTTTATACAAGATTTTATAAAAAATTGAGGGTAAATTACACTTACATTCCGCTCATTTTTGTTTGAATATTATATACGCCTTAAATTTTTTAAAATGCTACACTTAGCTCATTTTTATTTTAAAAACATTACACTAACTCTCCTTTATATGGATAAAATCTCATGGCAATTGATATAATATACGAAAAAATGTATCAATTTATAATATTTATATTTAACAAACTAGCATAAGAATAAAAACATGTTTACTAAAACTATATTAATTTGATAAATAAATTATTAAAATTATATTCAATTTTTTTATAATAATTATATTAAAATTCACAAATTAGAAATATTTTTATTTATATAGACTCTGTTATGTATTTTTATTAGTTTGACTTTTACATATAGCAACCAAGATTACCTTAATGCAATTATTGCTAAAAAGATTTTTTATTTTATAAAAAGTTAAATATGTTTTTAATAATTAAATTTGGAAGGAAATTTAAAATTTATCTATATCTCAAAGGTTGATAGATTTTGATCCGAAACTTGAAAAGTGAATAGATATAATTATTTTCACTTAATGACATTAATTTTTTTAGGTTTATTAAATGATATTTCAAGATAACATTTGATTTTGAACATGTCAAACACCATCTTCAAACGCTTTTGACATATTAAATAAAATTTAATATAATCAAATTAAAAGATTATATTAATTTATTTTTAAAATTTGGGACAAAAATGTACTAGAGATAAATCTTAATTTCATTTTAGTTTCATTTTTAACTTTAAAGATTAAAACTATATTTAATCTTTTATAAATTATAATATGTTTTAGGCGATGATGTTGAGACATACGATGTTGTGAAATTTTTACACTATCCTTTTTAGATCACGTATTTACAATTTTTGTTGGTTAATTTCCACACTATATATTCCGAAGGTTTATTAATACTTTAAAATATTACAAAACTTAATTATGTATTATTAGTAAAGGAGCTTTGAGACCATACCATGAACAAGTAATGATTTAAACCATATAATAATTTCCCATTTAAGACCAAACGTGTCAAAATTGGATTTGCTTTTTGACCTGAGGATGGTTTAGAAATGTGATGATAGGGCCCAATTGAAGAGGCCCAAAGTGTTTTTGCTTACTCATATTATGAAGATAAAAAGAATGATGAAAACTTACATATTATGAAAAGCTTTCTGTCATTCAAGTCATTCATTTTCTCTTTAAGAAAACGTTGACTTTACAAGAGGTTCGAGAAAAAAATAAAAATTGATTAACAAGTTATACATAAATAAAAAACACAAACAAATATGCCATCTGATTGACGATAAAATTAAGATACTCAAAAGAAAATAAAAAAATATTTTGAACATTCAATAAAACCAAATATTTTTTAATAAAAACAACTAAAAATGTTCATATTTATAAAATATGTAAAACTTAATAGTTACGACAATTAATTTTTTAATAAGAAGGTATGTTTTTTATAAAATAAATTATCATATTTTAAAACATTTATATATGAAGACTTCATGGAAACAATAAAATATGGGTATTGGCTTTTGTACAAGAAAACTTGGAGAATGATCATTTAATACTTATATGTTTCTTGAACAACCACTAGAGAGAAGCTGTTTTAGTTAAAAAAAAATATTATATTTAGAAGATAAAAATAAATACAAATGAAATTTTGAAATAAAATTATATATATATATATATATATATATAATTGTTACACAATGATATAAAATGCAGGATTAAAAATGGTAGTGAACCAAAAAGTAATTTGTCAGAATTGAAATAAAATGAAAATTAATTTAAACGAATTAAACTGAATTATTATTCTTTGTTTTATTAAACTGCACAATACTAAATTACATTGGAATTTGTTTTCTATTTTGACACACGACAAAACTTTGAGACAAATTAAAATAAGTCGGATCATACCAAAGATCGAGATAGGTTGACCTGACCCAAATTGAGATCCAGTGAGACCAAAGATTAAGACAGACCAAGTTGGGATAAATATTGAGAAGGGTCAGTCAAGCCTAAGGTTAAAACAGGTCGAGTAAGATCAAAAAGGGAAACAGACCGACCTGAGCCAAAGTTCGAGATGGGTTAGGTCGTGTCATAGGTTCAGATAAGTTGTATTAGCCAAAATAACCTAGGTCGAGCTAAAGGTTGAGATGAATCATATTTACCAAAATGTTGAGAAGGACTCGAGCTGAACTCAATCGAGTTCGTTGGAACGTTCACAACCAAAATTTAGTTGAATCGACTTGCCAAATTCAAATGAGTTGACCCCGATTGAAAATTAAGTTAATTCAATCAGGACCCAATTTATCAAACAAATTCAAAAATAAACGAAAATGTGATATAATTGGTTCCAACAAAATATTTGACCAAATTTAATCAAGTAATCCTATCAATGTTTAATCTAAACAACTTAATATTTTTAATATAATATAAAATAGTTAATTGATGATTTAGTACATTTCAATAATTTCAAATTTTAGCTTATTTTGCATCGGGTTAAATATGTTTTTGGTCCCTTAACTTTCAGCGAAAATTGGAATTAGTCCCTCTTCAAAACTTTGATAATTTAGTCCCCAAACTCTAAAATGTGTGAATTTAGTCCTTTTAACAAAATTTTGTTAACTTTATTTGAGTTTCAAGTGCATTTCATGATAGCATTTGAGTTGTTTACACTGTTTGACACATTTTTGCTTCAACGTTCACTGATAAATGCGTTTGAAACATCAAATAAAGTTAACAAAATTTGGTTAAAAGGACTAAATTCACACATTTTTAAAGTTTGGGGACTAAATTAGTCCAAAGTTTTGAAGAGGGACTAATTCCAATTTTCGCTGAAAGTTAAGGGACCAAAAACATATTTAACCCATTTTGCTCACTCATAATCCTATTTTATCCCGATAAGCGAAAACTAAAAGGAAATAGCATAAATCGGAAAGGCTTACCCGGAGACAAGGCGCATGTTGTCTTCGTAACGTTGTCGTTGTCTCCCAGTACGTGCTGTCACACACGACATGGATTCCTCTCAAATGTCTGATTTTAAACAACACACAAAAAAACATTAGTAAGAATCAATGAAGACCATCTCTGAATATTGTGACTTGAATGCAAGTAAGAGTTTCACATACAAAATAAAAAATAATTTAAATATATTTGTTCTTTAATTATTTGAGATGGAGTGATTAATTTTTATTTAATTGATAATTTGGTCGATTTTTAATTTATTTTGGTTAGATTTTTTTTTTATTGGTTTTGATTTTTATATTTATATTTTACTTAATTCATTTCTTATATTTTTTTCCCCTACATTGAATCTCTATTATTTAAAAGCAAAAACATAAAAACCAGAAAAGTTAGAGAGTTTTATGACAACAGATATATAATATAGATTTTGATAAATAATATATTCTAAATAGTTAACTTATGGAAAAGATCAGATTGAATTTTTTTATAAAAATGACAAAAAATTCAATCTAAAAATCAAATTACTAATTAAGTTTTTAATACAGTTAAAACCTAAAAAAAAAATACGGGGAGAAACTTACATAAGAAAACCAAAAATTGAGCTTCCGAAATATGAAACAAGAGAGGAAAGCAGAAAGAAATGGGTATAAGGTTGAGTGTGTTCTATAAAATTGGAAGGAAAGAAACGAAGACGAAAGGAAGAAAAAGACTACGAGAAAGACTGAGATAGAGGTAATAGAATTGCAGAAACGACGTTTCTTTATATACTGAGCAAACTTTCCACTCTTTCTGGATCAGAGAGCTGGAGTTGAAATTTTTTCGTTGACTTTTGATTATATTCAATTTTTCTTATTTCTGATATCAATGCTTTCATATTTGTGTTAGAAAATAATAATGTGTAATAGATTTCTTTATGGTCAAGTTTCAAAACGTACTTGTCATAACGATATTTCTTAGCAGGGATGGTTTTAAAAAAATAAATGTTAAAAATTTAAATTATATTTAAAAATATAACTAGAATTTTACTTAATTAGTTATTTATTTTTTAAAAGTATAACATCTGGAAATTATTATTTTATACTTTCCTTTTTGAATTTTCTTTTACTTAGTATAGATAAATATATGAAACATAGAAGAACTCCAACATTTAACTACAAAACTAATACATGCTGAGTTTATTAGCGAATGAGATATGCAGAGAGAATATTTAAAACAATCACATAATGAAAATTTTCTGCCATTAACGATTAGGAAAATACTTATCTATTTTCAAAATATTCATTAAACATAGTTAATATGAAAATAGTTATTTTAAATATTGTTACTACAACATAGTAATCTTTTGGATGTTGAACGACTTGAGTAGTTACGTATGATTAGGTTTACAATTTTTTTTTAAAAAATTAAATGAAAAGATTTACAATTTTTGTTAAAAAAAATTGTACGAGTCAAAAATACACGAGAAAATTTACGGTTTTATAAAAAAAAATTAAGTAATAATAGTATTGATTATTTGCGAAGTGTCCACCGACTTAGATTTGTTTATATTTATATGTTTCCTTTTATTTGTAAGTGTGTTTTCACTAGAAAATATTATTTTTTTACCAACAAATTGTATATGCTGAAGAGAAATAAAACTACATATTATAGAATATATAATGTGATAAAAGAAGAGTTAAAGAAAAAAATAAAGTTTAATGGTTATATATCAGATTAAGATATTTGTGAACCATCATTCTAATGAATATATATATACCGTAAATAAATAAATGAAAGAAATAAGATTTAGTTAAAGATGGTTACTGAAATTATTCTAAAAGATTAATTTTAACAAAATTACTAGATATTTCATTAATATTTTGAAAAATATTAAAAAAGTGATCATCTTGTAGAAACCTGATTTTCTTCCTTAAATATGGTCCCCTAAGCTTTTATTCATTCAAGAAAGCTTTAGTCTCAACTAACTGTGGGATGCACGGTTTCTATAAACTTTTAAAATAGAAAATTAAAAAATTAATTCTTTCATAACCAAAAATTAGTTTATATAAATTAATTTGCAAAACTTTTCATATTGTTTTTTTTTTTAAATTTTATTTTTAACTTGTATATAAACTAATTTTAATTTATAAAACATATTTTATTTATCTTATACTTTACTTTAATTTATTTGGAAACTCAAAGTTAATACGTTTATTTATTGAACCAATTTAATGACCAACTAAGTTTTTTTCTGTTCCAATTACGGATCACGATTGAAATGAATCAGCATATACGTCACTCATTGTTAAAATATGAAATCATAATAGTTTTCAGCAAAAATAATTTTATCTCTATACAAGATTTGAAAAGACCACACCAACACGAAAGATTATAACGAAAGTTGCATATAATCTATCAACCAGAAAAATATAAATATCCAATTCAAATTACAACTAATGTGTCATTATATATATTTAATTTTATTGGAATCATAACTATTTTCTTAGAAATATTAAGGTTAACCTTTTTGCTATTTAATAGGTTTTATATATTTAGTAAAAACAAATACTAAATTAGTGATTGGTATTCTAAAATCTCAAAAGAGAACAATAGTGGGTCCATAATATATGCATCTTATATCAAACAAGTACTTCAAAGCGGTTATTACATTAAGTTATTATAGGTCACAACATGTATTATTTTATTCCCTTTAAATATTTAAACTACTTACTTCATATTAAAAAAATTTAGATGATAAAAGTCATACTTATTTTTTTGGAAAAAAATTCAAGTTGATAAAATAATTTTGAAGTTTAACTTAATAAATGAATAAATACTTTATTTAATTATGGGAAATATTGAGATACTAATTCATAACTCATTCAATAATTTATTTTATGTAGTAAGTTGGTGAAATTTTTTCTATTTTGTATTTAAATTTGTTAATAAAACTCTGATCGAAAGTATATATTAGCATATAATGTGAAATATTTACTTAGGTAACATGCTTTTTTTTAATCAGAAATCGATTGTCAACTAAATTATGAACATTACTACTTTTTGAATTTTTTTTTTTCAAAATCTTGTCCTCCTTTATTTTTAAATTAAACAGAAAAGGTTAAAAATTTAGTTGAGAATTTGCTTCCTCAAGAATCAAATTATAATTTGTTTTTCAACAAATGGTTTTTAATGGTAGTTTAAAATTCAGTTTTTCGAAAATCAAATGCTGATCACAATTTAAAATTAGTTTTTTGAAAATCGAATTCTCACATAAACGGTAAAAAAATCGTACTATGTATATAAATATCTAACCCAATATGTTATCAAAGTAATTTTTAGGTTCAAATATGCATTTTGGATAAAAAAAAAATTATTTTGCATAAGAGATCTAGGTAGAGCATAGGGTAATTTATGATGATTTCGTCCATATATTTTTCATTGAATTTTTTTGTTCTAAAGTATTTATTGAAATATGTGAGCCACTGTTGTATTAAATGTTTATTTTAATATAAATTATTTAACAGGTATTTAAAATCTTTAGCATAGATATATGTAGTATCTTAAAAAGTGGAAATATTTCCTCTCTTTAGCTTAAGAAGATATGCAAGTGTCTCTTACTCTATAAGAACGGTACGTTCTGAGGTATAAAGTGGGAGATAAGGGATTTTAGAATTGGGGTTTTGAAGAAAACAACCTTTTCCTTTTTCATTCTTATTATTTTTTCAAATTGAAAAAAGTAATAAGAATGAGAGTAGCAACCATCTTCCTATCCTCTATCATATAATGATAGCTGTTAAGAAGTGAACTTTTAGCTTAATTCAATTTTACAAAATTGACTTGTAAGGCGTGAGACTAGACATTAATGAATGATCTGATAACCCGATAGCGGGTGAAACAATATGCTCAACAAACAACAAATATTTCTAGGATAGACTCTAACCTTAACTTTGATACCATGTTTAAGCGTAACTCAACCCCACAAAATCGGCTTGTAAGATGAGGTTTTGCACCCACTTAAATACTTTAAAGTGGTCTTATTCTAGTTGATGTGAGACTTCCAACAATAGTATTATATAATTAGTTGTTGGCATGGAAATTTCTTTTCAATACCAAAATTTTGAAAGCTACAAATAATAAATAAGTTAGGATTTATATTTGTAATTTTGAAATTTTATTCAATACAAGGAGAAATATGGATGCCTTTCTTATTGATATACAAGTACTTTAGAAAAAAAAAAAGGTAAACTTCATCCAAATAAGATAAAGAGAAGCTAAAACAATTGTATTTGTACTTTTTTTCTTTTCCTTTATATGATGAAATCCATTTTTTATATTTGTGGTACATTTTTAAGATTTGTGAATGTTTTAATATATTTTTTTTCAAAGAGGTAATTATTTAAAAAATGATAGTTTAAATCTATATTAGATAAAAATGAGAATATTCATCATTATATAATAAATGAACTCATAAATTTATTGTTTTAAATTTTTTACTTTTGAAAATGGTATCAATTTTTCATGTGAAATAAACTCATGCATATTTATGTAATCTTTTTCTAATGATTTTTTTTTCGGAAAAGAGAAAAAATATATATCCATAATATAAAACAACAATAAAGATCATTAAACCATTGTTTAAGCTTTTAGATTTAAAATAATATTAATTTCTATATTAAACTCAAATTACATGTAATATATCTCTTTAATGAATCTCTCTAAAAGTAACCATAAAAAAATATTCTAACAAATGAATTTAAGACTTGTTAGTTTATATAATGGCAAGCAAAGGAAATAAACAAAAATAGCTTTGAGTTAATTTAGATATGATTCTTTAAATTTGATTTATCTATACTCTAAAACTAACACTGTGACTTAGATACAAAATATATGTAAGAATCTAGAAAATATAAATTTAAAGTTGGCAGGTGTGTTAAAATAATGAGACCAAGTATTATAAAATTTAAAAATAAATTGATTAAATAAATAGAATTTCTCAAACTTGTCTCATTATCTTAAACACTCACCTTGTCTCTAAAATACTATTCTTTGAACTCTCTACAATCTCTCTAAGAATTCTAACTCCTTGATCATCTGTTTGACTATTAGGAGGTGACTAGACGATCACAACGACAAGGTCTCCTTATTCATCCGATGAATTTCTAGTTTAGAGTAAGTAAGTTTTGACTCCTTTTTCTCTCTCGTTCTTAGTTCGAGATCAATCGTTGTAATCCTTTGTTGCATGTGATTCATGATCTCTTTTCCTAATTCTTGGTCAATCTAAGGTCCTAAGGTTTTCATGAGTATATGGTTTCTTTGATTCTTCTTGTGTTAGATGTTGTCTACTCCTTTTCTTTTGCTAGGATTCATTGAGGATTCTATAAATCTGTTTGTGTGTCTTTTTGTTTATGTCCTGAGGTTGTGTCACTCTCTTGAGTTATTTGATTTGTTCCTTGGTCTGTATTGATTTTTCCCAAGAGTGCAAAAGACTAAGTGTGGTCTATTTTGATGAATCAATATTTTCTACTATTCACTTAGCTTCTTGTACTACATTAATTAGGAAATTATGCTTAAATGTCCAATATTTCCCCAATTTTGGTATTTGGGCTTAAGTTAACTAGTAATTCTTATTTTAATTAATTTGAATTATCTGGGCTTATTTATTTCCATTATTATTTTTAGGGGAAACTTTGGAATCATATTTTGGGACATTAAGAGAGTTGCCA